TACCGTTTGCAAATAGCTGAAAAGCTCGACAAAATGCCTGAAACTTGTTTTCTATCTATTGCTCTTTCATTGCTGATGTGAGCATCACACCTGGGGAAGCGTCCTGAAGAGAGTGGTGGCCGTGGGACATGCTGAGAAAACAGTCTCTCAAGACTGCTTTGGAAAACACGCTCAAACCTGATTAACAAACCAGTCACAGAAGGAGAGATCCTGCCAGAGCAACTACTCAGACTTCTAATTTCTATAAATTGGACTCTCCTCCACCAGGACAATTCAACACCTAAAATGCAGGGGGTACATTCCATCCAAGATGCAAAAAAAGAGTGTTTGGGGTGATTCTTTGGAGGTTACTAATTTTACATTTATTTATGTTTTGCCTTCCAGGAATCAAAGAGAAGGAACAGAAAACACCATGTTTTTGAAGGAATAAATGCCATGTTTTGTGTTCAGGGCCAGCAATCCAGCTCAGCCACTGTAGCTGGCTGGACACAGTGGCATTTGCATATGAAAGGCTTTCCCCCATAAAAAAAGTGACTTGCGTTCTGTCGTTAGTGAATGTCTTAGTTACTTTTCTATTGCTGTGACAAAACACCGTGACCAAGGCAACTTATAAAAGACAGCATTTAATGGACTCATGGCTTCAGAGGGTCAGAGTCCATGGCAGCAGGAGCAGCTGCCAACAGTTCACACCTTGATCCACGTGTAGGAGGCAGAGAGAGCGCACTAGGAATGGCAGGAGTCTTTTGAAACCCCAAAGCCTGCCCCTCAGTGATACACCTCCTACAACAAGGCCACACCTCCTAAACCTTCCCAAATAGTTCCACCAACTGGGAGCCAAGTATCCAAATGTATGAGACTTATAGGGGCCATTCTCATTCAAACCACCACAGTGAGTACTCTGTGTTCTCACCACAATGAGAATTCAGACTAAGAAACAAATAAGGACACTGTAATTTTTGTATAAATGGTATAAGTAAGATCCACTACATTTCTTCTTTAAAAAGACCGTGTTTATTATTATATTTACTTCTGGAGGGGAAGAGGGTCACATATGCAGAGGTCAGAGGACAACTTTCAGGTGTTGGTTCTTTCTGTCCATTCTGTGAGTCTCAGGATTGAAATCAGGTCATCAGGCTTGGTAACAAGCTCCTTACCTACTGAGCCATCTCACTGGCCCCCTGCAACAGAGTAGCTCAACTGAAACCCTGTCCCATCTCCTGTACACCCTGTCACCACTAAGACAAGGAACTTGGAGCCAACCCAGTGTTCTAGGCACCATGGGAGCTGACGTGCTGTTTAAGTGTGTGATACCTCAGTAAACCCCCCACTCTATCCCCTACAGACAAAGAGAAGCTTAAACCAAGAATCCTAAATGTAGATAAGAACTTAGACCCCTTTTCCCCAGGTGGCTGTATCTGCTACAGGGACTTTGGAAAACAGTCAGGATATTCGACCAAAAGACTAAAAAGGGAGG